TAAAGGAGAGGTTTATTCTTGCTCATGGTTTGTAGAGGTTTCAGTAGTCCATGGTCAACTGGAACCAAGGCAGAGTTTCATGGTGGTGGCATGAAGCACAGAGGGATCAGGGAGGAGGAAGGGATATAGACTCTTACAGGCCACACCCCCTGTGACCCACTCCACTAACCAGGTTTCACCTCCCAACATCACATTTAGCTACAATCTCACCTGTGGAATAATCCACTGATGAGTATCACACATCCATGACCCAGTTTCCTTCCTAAAGCCCATCTACAAGGGCATGAGCTCTAGAGGGACATCTAGATGTAAACCACCACAGTCATACAAATATGCTAGAATTTTGTCTTCCCCTTCACAATTTACATTTTTTGTTCCCTTAAGTTATACACGCATATATCGTGTGTACCTTAATGATTAATTGTAACTGTAGTTATTTTTGACCATTTGGACTTTTAACCTTCATTGTAGAGGTCTGAGGATTTATATAGCATCATACTTGGTTGTTGTGAAGGTGGCTGTAAATCTTCCTTTACCAGGGTGTTCCGCACTCTCATGTGTTTTCCTATGAAGTTGTTTCCTGGTGACACATCATTGTAGCCTCTGTGTGTGTGAAGAGGACTCTGATCCTCTTTCATTTATGAATATAGCTCAGCTGGGCATAGTATTTTTGACTGCCAAGGTTTTTTCTTGCAGCACTTTGAATATATCATCGCACAGCCTGCAAGTTCTCTACTGAGAAACCCCTGACAGTCTGATGGGATTTTCTCGTATGTGATGGTGAATATTCTCTTGCTCCTTTTAGAATTCTTTGTTTTTTCTTTTGACAGTTTGGTTGTAGTACACCTTGGAGAGGACTTTTTTGGGGTTGAGTTCATCGGGGAACCTTTGAGCTTCCTGTATCCCATGTCCTTATTGTTCCCAAGACTTGGGAGGCTTTTAGATATTATTTTATAAAATATGTGTTCTGTGACTTCTTCATCTCTTCCCCTTCTGGAATTCCCACAGTGTGACTATTTGTTCGCTTAATAATATTCCATAGTCCGTAGGCATCCTTATTCTTTTTATTTTCATTTATTTTTCCCCTCTGATAGTATTATCACAAAAGATCTGTCTTTAAATTCAGAAATTCTTTGTTCTGCTTCATCTCGTCTATGACAGAAGCCTTCAGTCATTTTTTAAATTCCATTCATTCATTAAGTTCTTCACCTCTGAGATTTCTGTTTGGTTGTTTAAAGAACGTTGAATTTCTCATTCAAATTATAAATTGTTTTTCTGATAACTGTTTGCTGGTAATCTCTTATATCTCACTGAGTTTCCTCAAAGTCATGTTTTATTTTCCTTTTTGGGCATTTCATAAGGTTCTTTTTCTTGGGAATCTATTACTGGAAAATTACTGTATTTGTCTAGAGGTTTATATTTATTTTTCACTTTTATTTTCACTTTTGTTGTTATTGTTATTGTTGTTACCTCACTGACATTTGTGTGTATGACGGAGCAGTTGCGTCTTCCAATTTACAGGGTGGCTTTTGTAGAGAAGATTACTCCTGTGGGTGGGTCCTTGGAGTCGGTGGGCTCGGGTGCTTGGCTTCAGCCTGGGTGAATGTGGGAGGACCTTCTGTGGGTGCCCGGAAGCCTGGTGTGCAGAGTGTGCTGTGGAGAGGTGGGACCAATGTCCCTTTCTCACCCCGGGCGAGACCTGAAGTGAGATGTGCAGCCACAGAGGGCACCCAGAGGAAGCAGTATGAGGCTGGAGCAGATGGGAGCGGGTGTGAAGGGGGGGGACTGCTCACCTGTGTCCCTGGTGATGGTGGTGTCCCTGGTGATGGTGGTGTCCCTGGTGGCCTCAGTGGAGCCTCCCTCTGCTCCAGGAGGTGTGATGGGCCCCGGGGAGTTCTGAGCAGTCCAGGAATCTGGAACCAGAGGAGCAGCAGGCAGGCGAGGGAGAGGAAGCAGAGTGGACAGGGTGACAGGGGATAGCCAGGCTGAGGAGGGAGAGTCACTGTATGGAGAGGGCTGGGGTTTGTGCTTGACAGCAGCTTTGCTGAGTCAGTGGCCTCCTGCATACTGGGAGAGCCCGGGGGTACAGTGTGAGCAGGGCTCCCAGGGGACAGAGGACAGTAAAGAATGGGGGTGTCACCCCAGGGAAGGGCTGGGGCTGGCCCTGTCCATGGACCACCCCGGGGAAGGTGTGGGACCTCCTGCAGGCCTTTGTAGGGCTCTGGGCCACATACTTGGTTGCTGGAATGTCTTCTCCCAGCCCAGCTTGTCTAGAGAGGTGGTGCATTTGTGGGGACCAGGGTTCAACTCAGCCATCAGAAAGGAGAGCTGGCTGCTCACGGTGTAAGCTTCACCATTCTGGGTAGCGGGGAAGGACCACTGTGTCTTCATCTGCACCTGTGAGTGCCAAGTGACCTGTATGTTTGGGTTGTTTCCAGACACTAAGCAGACTTCGAGGTCATTTTCCCCTGGGGTTTGCACTCTGAGGTGATGAAAATGTGTGGATTCTGTTGGGTGGCTGCAAGACAGACAGTGGGTGCTGCAGATGCTGGGCTGGGGGTGGGAGCAATTCCACCCTCTCCCCAGGCCTGGACTCAGGCACTGCTGGACCCTGGGCTGTCCCTGCTAGACAGTGCTGGTCCCCTGGGGTGGCTCCTACAGATCCTGAAGTTCAGAGAGGGAGGGTGGCTGTGGACGGCAGATCCCTGCCTGGTCCCTGATGACTTTGCTTCATTTGCCTTGCCCTGGCTCCACCTATGGCATACCCAAGGATAGTCACTGATCACGGAGGCTGGACTTCTGTGTCCAGTCAGGAGCAGACTGGCAGCTGTGCTGTGGCCCCCAGGGCAGAACCTGCCCCTTGTTTTTCCAGACTTGCAGTGCTACTGCCCTCCCGGGTATCTCCTGCCTGGGTTCCGCAGCAGGGCCTTGGCCTCATTGTCCTCAGCTGCCCCTGGTCCAGAGGAGCCCTGATTTTCTCCCAAGCCTCTCTCAACCTCACAGGGCCATTCTTATTGCCCCGGGGTTCTGGGCTGCGAGCCCTCTGACTCCTTCCCCAGGCACTGCTGAAGGATGTGGCAGGGCTGTTACTGTGGGACAGATTACACCCCCTAGGACTCAGGGGTGCAGTCATTCCCAGGACATCAGAGGGCAGCAGTGTTGGGCACAGCATGTCCAACAAAAAGCACTAGGACAAGGTCACACTGGACTGGGATAGGTGTTTGACCCAATAGCACTATGTTTCCTTGTGGAAGGGGTGATGTGGACAGGGAAATGCATGAGGGGACAGTGAGGCGGTGAGCAGCACTGCTATGCTGAGTCAAGGAACAGCAGAACAAGGCCCCCTGGAGCAGGAGTGGGTTCACCCTTTGGCAGAGGAGACCCAGCCCACAAGGCTCTGTCAGACGCCTGGGCTTCAGACGGGAAAGCAGATCTCTCAGACACAGCTCAGGTCTCTGCCCGGTCCCTGGACCCATAGAAAACTAGAGCAGATTTTGTTATCAGAAGTAGAGTGTTGATGTAAGAAGCATCTATATGCATGGAAGAGAACGTGGAATTGGGTGGTGGCCCTGGATGACCCCATGAAGCTGCCTGGGGTGGTGTGGTCCAGCCTAACCTGGCTTACACAACTGATCCTCACCATGGTGCCACCTACATGCTTCCAGCATGGCCCCATTGGGATTCTTGGTGTCTCCCAAGTCCTCTCTGCCTCCTCCTCTCTTCTCCCACTGCTTCCTCCTCCCAGTCCTCAATGCATGCCAGCCAGGATCCACATGGCCTCTGGGCTGCCTCCAGCTATGCACACTTGCCCAGGAGCCCAATATGGCTCCCACTGCATCTCTGCAGGGCTCCTATCTGGAGGAAACCTGGCCTCAAGACACAGCCCCCCAACTCAGGGTCTGAGTTTCCACGCTTGGTCCAGATCCAGCAGGCACTGCCCTTTTGCCATGATGATATACCCTTCCTCTTGTCCTGTGCCATCCCCACCAAATGTCCTCCTTACAGGTGTCATGAATTCAAGCAGTGGCCCGAACCCCATCCATGTGTTACACCTTCACCTCAGGTGATAGTAGGAGGAGGGGGCTCTGTGACAGGACTGGGGCAGGATGGGATGGTGCCTTAGCAGAGCAGCCCACAGAGCCCCAGCCCCTTCCCTCCACAAGAATAGGCCAGAAGGAACTGACCAGGAGCCAGGACACCCCTTCAGGCAGGGATCTGCTGGCAGCTGGGACCTCAGGTGAGACCTGCAAGCCAGTAGAGGAACCAATCTGCCTGTGGGGCCACCTGGTCTGGCATGTTTTTACAGCCGCTCACACACGCTGAGACTCTGGCCACCCAGAATGTTGGCTTCAATGTCTACACTCCTGTTCCATCCATGCTGCAGGCCACCGACCCCTGTGCCCACACAGTGTAATGTCCAGCTCATTGGCCAAGGTGTACATGGCCAGAGGGCTCAACCTGCTCCCTCTGCACTCCTGCAACACAGGTCTCCAACAAACAAAGGTTGGGGATGAGATGCCAAGTTTCTCAGACACAAACAAAAAAAAACACAAACAACAGAACTCAGCTGTGGAAAGCAAAACCCCAACTCAGAACCCATAAAAAAGCAGACGGAGCAACCACGCCACAACAGAAAGGAGCTACAGACCAAGCCCGTCAACCAGACCACTTGGGCCGCCCACACTGAACATCCCGCAGCCAAACTCTCACAAAACGAAAACAAAGAGAAACACAAGATACCACAAGATAAAAAGCATCGCAGGAAACCAAACAGCCAAAAGAGAACAAAAAGAAAAACTAGGCCCAAAAAGGAAAACACACAAAATAACACAAGAACAACAAAAGCACAAAAACAAAGCAGAAAACAACAAACCAGACAATGCGGACACAGCACGGTGAACAGGGAAGAAAGATGGAGCGGAGAGGAACAGAAACCCGAGACCTAGAAGACAAACCACCAGAAGAAGAGCAACAATACGACCACCACACACACCACGACACAGCCCAGGCCCTGCAGTTGGGCTCTTGGTCTCCGGTGTCCTCCCACAGCTCAGTCACTTCACCTACAGACAACAGAGGCAACATGAACAGCCATCCCAGTGAGGGCAAAGATAGAGGCAGCAAGGACCCAGGTGGCCAGGATCCCTGTGCAGCCCAGGCTCCTGCCCTACTCCCAGCATCTGCCCCCACTGAGCCCTCTACCTTGAACAGGGTGACTGTGGTGCTGTAGAAGAGGCTCAGCAGGAAGAGCACAATGAAAGTGGAGGCGGTGGTCCACAGGTTCTCAAAGCCCTCCTCTTCAGCATTCACCTCCCCCTCTGCAGGGGACACAGAGGGAGGGTCAGTGGCTCCTGCAGCCTACCTGGGGCTGGGACCACTGGGCTCAGTGCACAGGATGGATGACAGCCAACAGCGGGGGTGGACACAGGCAGTCAGGCAAGCAGGAACAGACAGGGGCAGGAAACCTTGCCCGGGGGCCCTGGGTGGCAGAAAGAGTGGGGCAGTCATGGCACATGGATAAGGGAGAGGGCAGAGGCAGGGACACAGGGGACTGGGCTTCCAGTGAGTCCTGGACCCTCCTTGAGCAAGGGGCACATCCAGAGCCACCTGGCTAAGAAACAGGGATGGTGTGGAGTGCACAGGGGGAAGTGAGGGCCAGGCTGCTCCTGATCACCTCCCCAGGGATTTGATAATAGGAACAGAGTCCAGAGTACATCCTGGCTGAACAGCCCTGCCCTTCCAAAGTGACAGAGGCCTGGTACATCCTGGATGAATACTGCTGCCCTACCAGAGTGAATGAGGCCTGAGGAAGTCCTAGCTGGTCCTGTACTACCAAAGTGACAGAGGCCTGGGACATTCTAGTTGGTCCTGTCTTATCATAGTGACAGAGGCCTGGGATGCCCTGACTGGCAATTTCTGTCCTACCAAAGTGACCAAGACCTAGGATAGAGTCAGAGGAAGTTCTGGGGGATGCAGTGGGATGCAGCTGCCAGGAAGCATCTGCAGCTCAGGGGAGACCAAAAGAGCAGCCCTAGGCCTGCACTGTCCCTTGGGTGTGAGGACTTTGCTCAACCCTGTCCTCCCTGTGTGGACTCAGCCTCCCTGCACAGGTGTGCTCTGTTCTCTGTGCCCCAAATGGCCCGGTTGTGTGTCTGCAGGGTCACTATGCTAATGGTGACCCTAGTGACCTGCTCCCAGAGGGACAGCCCCCTACCTGCAGGCCAGGTCCGAATGCAGCATCTCTGTCACTCTTATGTGACCCTGCTGTGTTCAGTGTAGGTGCTGGGCACCTGCTGCCTCCCCCAGAGCCACCCTGGAGGGCACCTCCCTGGGCACTCCCAGGCTTAGGCTGAGCTCCCTGAGAAGCTGCAGCAGGCCTGCCCTGAGGGATGCTCTGAGCTCTGGCTCTGGGCTTAGGGATGGCACCACAGTCAGAATCCAGGCCAGGCTGGGCCATGAGATAACTTCATGCCAAGACAGAGAGACAAACAGAATATGGGACAAGCCCTGAGACAGCATGGTGGAGGGAGCCACTGCTAAGGAGGCAAGAGATGTGTGTGTGTGTGTGTGTGTGTGTGAGAGTGCAGAGTCTGCCAGGTGTCCACCTGCTCCTGTGCACTCATGTGTTCCTATCCATGTGTCTTTGTGCCTAGTGCATGTATATGCACAGCCTCCGTGTGTCTGTGTCTTGTGTCTCCTGTACACTGTGTGTAGATGGCCATGTGGCCAAGCATGTCTGTGTGTGTAATCTTGTGCATATGTGCCTCTTTGTGTGTCTCTCCATGGTACATGTGTGCATGAGTTCACGTTCATTTCTGTGTTCACATGTTCCACGATTGGACATGTTTGCACGTCCCCACACAGATGTGTGTCTGTGTCAGCATACTCATGAAGCATGTGTACTGCCTGTATCAGTGAAGCTGAGCCTTTGGCTATATGTCAGAAGCAGCTACAGAGTCCAAAAGCCGACAGGTCACCTGCACAGATGTCTGCAAAGAGGCAGAGCATCCTCAGAAGCCTGGAGGATGTGTGACAGGGCAGGGATGGACCAGGTGGAAGAATCTACTCTAGCTAAGCAGGCCAGAGCATTGCATACTCAAAACCAGCATCTTTTGAAGGGATCTTTTTATTTCTAATTTTAGGAAATGCAACACTACACACCCAAAATGGTTAGTTTGCACACAAACAGCAGAGGGACTGGACCATGGCCCTTAGGATGGCTGGAGCAGCATGGTCAGTAGCAGGTGCGGGCCGTGTCGGACATGATGAGGGACACATTGTACAGGGTGGGTTTACCAGTGGACTTGTCCACGGTCCTCTCGGTCACCATGTGGGGCAGGGCCTCGTGGCCCACGACACAGGTGAAGGTCTCTCCCGAGCTCCAGTCCTCCTCGGTCACTGTCAGCAGGCTGTGCGCATAGTAGAGACCTGGGGCCTGGGACTCGGGTATCGGGGAGCTGGTCACATACTTGTCCGAGGACAAGGGCTGCCCACTCCGCAGCCACTGCACAAAGACATCTGCAGGTGCAAAGCCCTTCACCAGGCAGAAGATGGTGGCCTGTTCATGCAGGACCAGCTGTTCCCGGGCGGGTGGCAGCACGTACACAGCAGGGGGGTGCTTGGCTTGTGCTGTGGGCAGAGAGGAGTTGGTGAGCACGGGGCAGGCGGGGGACAGGTGGGGTCCTGGAGCCAGCGGGGTGGGGGCTGGGCCTACCTGTGGGCTTGGAGATGGTCTTCTTCAATGGGAAGGGCAGGTCCTGGTGGATCACGGTGCACGTGAATGTCTTCCCAGAGTCCCAGTCTTCCACACAGGCACTGGCCTCACCCATGACACTGAGGGTGCCGTTGGCTTGGCTCTCAGGATCTGTGACTTTGGTTGGCAGGTCCTTGCCATCCTGATTGGCCCAGGAGATATTCAGTCCTCCACGGTGGGTCAGGCTGGTGACCAGGCAGGTCAGCTTGGCAGACTTGGTGAGGAAGGTGCCAGCAAAAGAGGGTGGGATGGGGAAGACTTTGATGTCTGTGGGCGGAGTTGCTGTGGAGAGAACACTGCTGTGAGTGGTGGTTGGACTTGAAGTCAGGGAAAGCTGTAGACCCTAGGACCAGCCCTGCCCCTGGGTGCTGCTTGGTGCCACCTGACCTGTGTCCCCACTGCTCCCTGTCCTGCCCTTGGCATCTCCTGGAAGCCAAGGCTCAGGAGCAGGTGGCCAGGTCTGTGTGGCATCTGTTCCACCCGAGTGGACAGGTGTGGGGATACCTTGGGCTGAAGGGTGGTCTGGGGAGGGGCCAGGCACTCACTGGGGACACACACGGAGGAGGATACATTCTTCTTGAAGGTGCCCGCTCTGTGATCCACGAGGCAGGTGAACACCTTCTGGCCCAGCCAGTCAGCCTCCGTGATGGTCAGCGTGCTGGTAACCTTGAAGGTCAGTTTCTGGGAGACTTTGTTCTCAGCCACCACCTGGTCTGTGATGAAGCCAGACCTCACAGTCTTTCCATCCCGCAGCCAGGACACTGTGATCTGCCTGGGACTGAAGCCTGTTGCCTGGCAGATGAGTTTGGATTCACCAGAGTCGAGGAAGGTGTCTCGGGGTGGGACAAACACGGTCACGTTGGGAGCCTGCTCCATGGTCACTGGGGCTAGAAGACAAGGTGTGAGCCTGGCCCGGTCCAAGTCTCTGTGCTGTCCCTCCTGCCCATGCCAGGGTCTCTGTGCCCCCAGGGAAGGCCTGGCTCTTACCTGGAAAGGGCACTTCCTTCTTTAAGTTGTTGCTGCCATGCTGGACCTTGCACACCAGGCGCTTGTCTGTAAGCTGGGGGACGTCCTTGGAGGGCAGGAGCACCTGGGAGGTGGTTGTGTACTTGTCTCCTGTCTGCACCACTGGGAAAGTTCTGATGACCTGGCTCACCTCAGAGGCATTCTCATAGGTCCAGGAGAAGGAGACGCTGCTGGGCAGGAAGTCTCGTGCGAGGCAGCCCACAGACACCTGGCTGTTATCCGACAGGGGGCTCTCGCAGGAGATGAGGGGAAAGAGGGTCGGGGAAGATAAGCTTTCTGGCAACCCGAGACACAAAAGAGAAGAGGAGTGTGAGATGCTGGTTCTTATTCCCTGTGTACCAGGGGTCTGTCATTGCCTCCGTCCCACATTGGCTGCCCCTCAGGAGGGCTGGGCTGACATGGCCTCCAAAGGCTGGGAGGACAGGGCCAGCTATGTTTGCAGGCCATGGGTTGCTGTGAGGCCTTGTTGGCCCTCTGATATAGGAACCAAGGATAAGGGTGCTGTGAGGGCAGGCTTCATGCAGGGCAGGCAGGCCTGTGTGCTGCCGGGCCAAAGACCCTCATTGGCTCCATTAGCGGAGAGCACAAAGAGCTCAAAGGACCCAGGCTTCAGGGCCACATGGGAAGCCAAGGGCACACTTCAGGCAGCTCCAGCTCTGCATGGACATATGGAGTCAGCAGCATTGCAACCTACCCTGAGGGCTCCCAGGCCCGCAGTGGGGCTGTGTGGGGCAAGGGCAAAGCTACTGTGATGGACAGGACACCAGTGTGATGCCACCTCAGCACAGCCTGATCAGGAACACTGGCCCAGCACAGTGTCCCCAGAGGTAAGCTGCAAGGCTGGTCAGTCCAGCTGGAGCCATGCAGCCTTGCAGAGCCTGACTGGATCAGCTAGACAGAGCGGTGATGAGCTGGCCAGGGCCACCCAACTTAGCCAGCTCAGGAGAATTCAGTGTAGCCCAGCCCAGGGCAGTTTAGCTCAGCCTGGCCCAGAGCTGACCCAGCCCAGCCAAGTTCAACCCAGCACAGCTGAGTCTGCCTCACCGTGGCTCTCCTAAACTCAGCCAAAGTCAGCTCAACCCAGCTCAGCTCAGCCTAGCTCAGTTCACCAAACTCACCCAGCACAGCTCACCCAGCTCTGTCCAGCTCTGCTAACTCAGCTGAGCTATGCTTCAGCCAGTGCTGCTCAGCCCAGCTCAGTCACCTTGGCTCAGCTCATTTTAGCTCACTCAGCTCAATCCACTTCAATTCAGCTATGCTTGAGTCAGCTCCTCACCTCTCAGCTCGCCCAAGTTCAGTACAACATGGCTCAACCCTGTGCAGCTTAGCTCTGTTCAGTTCAGCTCTGCTAAGCAGCTTACTCAGTTTAGCTTATCCAACTAGACCAGCTCAGTGCAGCAGGGCTCTGCTAACCAGATCAGTTTAGCCCAGCCTAGCCCAGCTCCATTAGCTCGGCTGTGCAACCCAACTAAGCGCAGCCCAGCTGTGTTATCCCAGCTCTGCTAGCCAGACTTAGCCCAGTCCAGTTCAACCCAGCCCAACTCTGCTACCACAGCTCAGTCCAGCTCAGCCCAGACTAGCCCTATTCCCCTAGCTCAGCTCAGTCTAGAGCAGCCCAGCTCTACCAACTCAGCTCTACAAACCAAGCCCACCCCAGCTCAGGTCAGCTCAGGTCAGCTCACCCCAGCACAGACCAGCTCAATCCAGCCCAGCTCAGGTCAGCTCAGCTCAGCTCAGCCCAGCCCAGACCAACCCTGTTCTGTTAGCCTAACCCAGCTCAGTTCAGACCAGCTTGGCTCAGCTTGGCCCAGCTCTGTGAGGTCAGGCCAGTCCAGCTCATCCCAGACCAACCCTGTTCTGCTAGCCCAGCCCAGCGCAGCCCAGCCCAGCCCATCCTAGCTCAATTCAGACCAGCTAATCTCTGCTAGCCCTGTTCAGCTCAGCTCAGCCCAGCTCAGGCCAGTCCAGCTCAGCCCAGCCCAACCTAGCTCAGTTCAGCCCAGCCCAGCCCAACTTAGCTCAATTCAGACTAGCTAAGCTCTGCTAGGCCAGCTCAGCTCAGCACAATTTAGCCCAGCTCTGCAAGCCCAGATCTGCTAGTCCAGCTCAGCCCACCTCTGCTAGTCGAAGTCAATCCAGCCCAGCCCAGTCCAGCTCAGCTCAACTCAGCCAGGCTCACCTCAGCCCAGACCAACCCTGTTCTGCTAGCCTAACCCAGCTCAGTTCAGAACAGCTCAGCTAGGCTCAGCTCTGCCTGGCCCAGCCCAGCCTGGCTCTGCTAGATCATGCTCAGCCCAGCCCAATCCTTTCCTGCTATCCCTGCCCAGCCCAGCCCAGCCCAGCCCAGCCCAACCTAGCTCAGTTCAGACCAGCTAAACTCTGCTAGCCCTAGCTCAGCCCAGCTCAGCTCAGCTCAGCCCAGCCCTGCCCAGCCTAGCTCAGTTCAGACCAGCTAAACTCTGTTAGCCCAGCTCTGCTCAGCCCAGCCCAGCTCAACCTAGACCAGTTCAGCTCTACTAGCCCAGCTTTGCTAGTTTAGCTCAGCCCAGCCCAGCCCAGCTCAAAGCAGTACAGCTCAGCCCAGCCCAGACCAATTCAGCTCTGCCCAGCCCAGCTTTGCTAGTTCAGCCCAGCCCAGCTCAGCCCAGCTCAGCCCAGCTCAATCCAGCTCAATTCAATCCAGCTCAGTTCAGCCCAGCCCAGGCCAGCTCAGCTCAGCCTAGTTTAGCCCAGCTCAGCTCAACTCACCTCAGCCGGGTCCAGCTCAGCCCAGACCAAGCTTGTTCTGCTAGCTCACCCCAGTTCAGTTCAGACCAGCTAAGCTCTGCTAGCCCAGCTCTGCTTGGCCCACCCCAGCCCAACCTAGCTCAGTTCAGACCAGCTAAACTCTGCTAGTCCAGCTCAGCTCAGCTCAGCTCAGCCCAACTCAGCTCTGCTAGATCAGTTCAGCCCAGCCCAGCCCAATCCAGCCCAGCTCTGCTAGTTTAGCTAAACCAAGCCCAGCCCAGCCCAGCCCAGCTCAACTCAGTCCAGCTCAATTCAATCCAGCTCAGCTCAGCCTAGCTTAGCCCAGCCCAGCTCAACTCACCACAGCTGGGTCCAGCTCAGCCTAGACCAACCCTGTTCTGCTAGCTCACCCCAGCTCACTTCAGACCAGCTAAGCTCTGCTAGCCCAGCTCGGCTCGGCTCCGCTAGGTCAGCTCAGCCCAGCTCAGCCCACCCCAGCCCAACCTAGCTCAGTTCAGACCAGCTAAACTCTGCTAGTCCAGCTCACCTCAGCTCAGCCCAACCTAGCTCTGCTAGATCAGTTCAGCCCAGATCAATCCAGCCCAGCCCAGCCCAATCCAGCCCAGCTCTGCTAGTTTAGCTCAGGCCAGCCCAGCCCAGCTCAGCTCAGCCCAGCCCAGCTCAGCTCAGCCCAGCTCAGCTCAGCCCAGCTCAGCTTAGCTCAACTCAGCCCAGACCAGTTCAGCTCTGCTAGCCCAGCTTTACTAGTTCAGCTCAGCCCAGCCTAGACCATACCAGCACAGCGCAGGAGAACTCAGCTAAAACACTCCACAGCTGGATCCTGCACAGCCCACCTGACCTCCATCACCCTCAGTCTCTCCTCTGGCATGCATGTCCTGGTATCCCACCCTGCTGGGCCAGGCTTTAGGCTGCAGAGGCTCCCAGTCAGTCACTACCACCCCTTAACAAATGGGAAAAGTATATCTCTGAAACTTTAAATTCACTGAAACATCTAGAGATTCGTTCAAGAAAGTAGGGGCATTTCTGAACAAGGGAAAGTTCTTTTTCCTCTAGAACCCAGAGTCTTGACTATGCAAGTAGGAAATGCCCGGGGGAGCCTCCCTCAGAGCCTGTGCTCCTGGAAGACTCCCTTAGCCTGGATCCCTCCTTCTGACTTTAATTTCCATCCCGATCAAAACTATCATTAACAACAACCATGTAAAACATTTTATCTAAATTTGCCACTTAAAATTCTTGTTTGCCATGAAACTCTTTAGAAAGTGTAATAGTCTAAAATCAAATCTGCATTGATAACTTAAATGGATACAACACCATTGGTTCTTTGTACATTTTAAAGCACCATGAACCGATTGACCAATAGTTAATAAGCCTTAGAGCGGCTGGTGCCCGTTTTTCCTTGACATGTCTTTCAGGGAATGTTGCCTGTGAGTGATCCAGACAACAATCACTCCAAGGATTCACAAATAAGTTTCATTTCCTTTCTCCAATAATAAAGTCTGATTCCCTTTCCAATAGAAACAAGCATCAAATGCAAACTTTTAAGAGAAGCAAACATGGCAGGGGTGGCTGCCTCTTGCTTACCATGTTGGGTGCCCAGTCACTGGAAGTTCTTGAGGGTCTTTGGCATGGAATATTTCCTTCAAGTCCATTAAAGCTGGCTGGTTCCCGAAGAGCCAGTTGGCCTGGTGGCAGAAGCCACTGCCACACATTCCCAGGTCTGGGTGGTCCTGGGACCCCAAGCTGAAGCCAGGTCCAGCATTAACCCACACTCAGACCTTAGCCAGCAGCCTGTCAGCAGGAAGCTGGGTAGAGGCGAAGCATTCTGCCCTGTCAAAGTTCTAAAGGCCTTGCCTTTGCATTATCTGGCTGAATTTCTCTTTATCCACCAACTAAGATGTTTAACTGAAATAATCCAAGGCGATTATACACATCTTACCTCAAATATCTCCTAAGTGAATACTCAATGAGTGGTCTTGAAAAATGCTTAGGAAGGCATCTTTATCAGAATAGCAAAGTGGTTTTTTCTTAATTGCAAAACTAGCTTAAATATTGTGAACACACTCATTGTAAAAATAATACTTCAGTTATTGAACAAAGCACTGATATTAGTTATCACATGAAAGAACACCAAAGCAATTAAAAAACTTTCCTAAATACACTAATAAACTGCCCCTAAGACTGCAGTTTCATGCACATCATACTTCAAAAATGAATACAATTTAAAAGGTGATAAGCTGTTTTTGAAAACTAAAAGTTGATAAACTAAGACTCAAAAATGAAATTCACATAGTTACAAGGGGACTTTCCAGTTCCTGCCGGCATCGCATCTCAGCTTTATTTTAGAAATGCAAATGACCCAGGTGTTGTTTTGCTCAGCAGGGACTTTTAGATCTGTGGGGCTGGGCAAAACAATTTCAAAGCCACCTCTTCATAACCACAGCTATAAATTTACCTCTTCTGTTTTTTTGCTCCCTAAAATAGACTCTCCATGTGACCACTTCCTGCCATCTGCTGCAGGTGTCCTGGCCCCAGGCCATCTTGACTCTAACTCACATCCCAGGATGGCCTCATTGACTAAAAAATAAACTTGATTTATTATTGTCAAAACTCAGGCCCAATTCTTGGCAAAAGTACCAAATTCCTATTCCTTGGTTGAACTTACAGCAATGTCAATTCCAGACAGATATGATTCACGGTTGCTAACTGAGTAATAAGAAATTTAAAAGTTTAAACACCAAGATATTTTAAAAATGGAATATGCTTGAAAATGTTTCACATTTTAAGCCACAATTTTCTTAGCCATTCTTCTCTGGAGCCCCTGCAGAGACATCCTGTCTTTCAAACTTAGTAAGCCTGTTTCTCAGCATTTTCTCCTCCAAGTATCTGTATAGGGCCTGATCCCTCTCCTCAACAGCCTGTCCGAGGAGCAGCTACCCTTTGGGTGTCCAGCACCCGTCCTCCCCAAGGTTATGGCTACATGTCCTCCTCTCTGGATTTACACCCTCAGACCATTCTCCTTCCAATAACTAGTTTTAAATGCCATCTAGCACAGAGCACACCTCACCTTTCCAAAGAAAATACTCTGCTCCACACTCTGTGTGGCAGTCCAGGCACTCTGCCAATGCAGTCACCGAGGCGCATTCCTCATCCAACACTGACTCCAGAACTGGATGTCCTAGCCCAGCCAGAGATGTTCCCCACCCAGCCAGAGATGTTCCCCAGCCATGGGGTCCTGGCCTTTTCCGCACTCTAATCTAAGGCGGCCCCAACCCCAGCTCCTGTTTGAGGGGCTCAATCACTGCAGTGATGTACTGGCCCTTATAATTTTTCAAAGACATTAGAACATCCACAGAGGTGCCCAGTCCCGGCCCTCTTGTCCAGCCGCCCAGATCCCCTCGAGGCCACCAAGGTGAGCCTGCAGTTCTCAGAAAACCTCAGACAAGAGCAGAGAGCAAAGGCCCCGAAGAGGCTGTCCTTACCTGAGGAGACGGTGACTGGGGTCCCGGGGCCCCAGACATCAAAAGCATAGTAATCACATTGGTTCAATCTTCATCCACGCCCCACAGAAACCCTGAGTGCCTGGCCGGCATTGAGCCCCATCACCCAAAGACCCACACCTGACCCCTGTGGTCACACTCAAGTCACTGTGTCAAGTCTGTGACTCTGCTGACCTCCAGACACACATTCCAGCCCAGTGCTTCAGAAGCCAGATGTCTGCTGGCCTAGGGAGGTGACCCTGAACTGTCACCCTTTGTTCTCACAGGGACCCACAAAGCCTTGGTGGCCTCCAAGCTGACAGAGCCCAGTCACATGGCAGTCACTCGACCCCTGATTTCACTCCACAGAACACTGGCATGGACTCCTGCCCCAGACCCCTGAGGCTGAGGAGGGCTGGATCTCCCGTTCCCCAGATCCCCTTCCCACCCTCTAAAATATCACTGTCGCCTTGACAGGGAGACTCAGACTCCGAGTCTCCGCTAGTGCATTAGAGTGGGGACGGGGCAGGACTCACCTGAGGAGACGGTGACCAAGGTCCCTGAGCCCCACAAATCAAACCTGTTGTCACATTGTGACAACCATGGCAGGATCCCAGACAAGAACTGGCGCCAGGCTGGGGCCCCGGGACCCCTCAAATAGGGGACCGGAGCCCAGAGAGACCCAGCCGCAGGGACCAGGATAGAGGGGGTCTGTGTGGGCCCTGGACCTCAGGATCCCTTCCTGGACCCCCAAGCTGGGGGCCAGGCTGTCTTTCTTGGCCTGAGACCCAGACATCATCGTTTTGCCCCCAAAATGCAGTAAATCCCTTAGAGTTGAGCAGGAAAAGGAGCTGTAAAGACTCACCTGAGGAGACGGTGACCAGGGTCCCTGAGCCCCAGAAGTCAAGATAATCACACTGGCACGGGCCCCCTTAGGGGGTGTACAGAAACCTGACCCACTCCAGCCTGCGTGGCAGCCAAAGAGGAAAGGCCAGGCCCCGGGGTCCCAGAAGAGCATGGTTCTGCCATCCTTTGTCCTCAGAGCAAAGTGTCCCTGTCCCTACAGAAAGGCCATTGGCAGGAAGCAAAGCCTCATATCCCCAGATGACCCCCACGGGCCTCAGATGATCCCATGCAGACCAAAGAACCTCTGGAAATCCCTCTCCAAGCTCTTGAGGAGGCTGCGCCCAGATCAAGGAGGCTAAAGAAATTCATCTCACCTGAGGAGATGGTGACCAAGATTCCAGGAGCCCAGATCTAGGGACCCTCCTCAAGTTGAGCCTAGTGAAGGCTGAGGGCAACATAAACCAACAGGACCCAGAGGCCAAGGGCGGCTGGGACCCTAAAAGAGACCCAGCCACAGAGACCAGGAATAGAGAGAGTCTTGTGGGCCACAGTCCCCAGGACCCCTTCCTGGCCCCCAAAGCTGTTCCTGTCCTTCTTGGCCTGAGACTCAGACTCAGTTGTTTTCCCCCCAAATGCAGCAAAATCCTCAGAGTTGAGGAGGAAAAAGAGCTGTAAGGACTCACCTGAGGAGACGGTGACCAGGGTCCCCTGGCCCCAGTATTGAAAATAGTCACACTGCTATAGGCCCCCTTCGGGGGTGTACAAAAACCTGACCCCCTGTGGCCTGTGTGGCAGCCATGACAGAAAGGCCAGGCCTCAGGGTCACAGTGTGTCCCCTGCCTGGAGCATGGTTCTGTCACCCTTCATCCTGGGAACAAAGTGCCCTATCCCCACAGAAAAGCTATCAGCAGGACACAGCCCCAAGGCCCCCGAAGGCCCTGCAAAGACTGAAGCACCTCTGGAAATCTCTCCCATCTCCAGAGAAGGCTGGGCCCAGACTTACCTGAGGAGACAGTGACCAGGGTGCCGGAGCCCCAGATATCAAGGTACCAGTAGCACAGCCTCTGCCCGCAGGCTGTGCCTGCACAAAAATGCCCCCCAGGCCCATCCCTCCTGACTCTGTTGTCCCCAGATGCAGGACTCACCTGAGGAGACAGTGACCAGGATGCCCTGGCCCCAGAAATCGAAGTAACCATAGACACAGTGAGCTGACCTAGTACCTAGGGCCACAGAAACCCCTAGCCTGGGGTCCTGTAGCCCTTTCCCACCCTGGGCCCATGCAGGCACTGGAGTCTCATTGGTCCTCTGGGTCACAGTGTCCCTGCTCTGAACCCCAGGGCTGGCCTGCCCACAGCACCTCTACTCTGCGTCTGGTCACTGGGAAACTCCTCTTACTTTCCAAGACCACAGAGCCTTTTCCTGTTTCTCCAGCTCCCCCGCCCCACAGGGCTCCGCAGGGCTGTTGGCTGTGGGCTGTCTGCTGTTGCTGTATGGGCTGGGTTTTTGTAGAACTGTCAGTCACTGTGGTCCCAGTTGGCACTGTGGTTTCAGGCTCAGCCAAAACTCCTGGGCGGAAGAAAGGGGTGGAGGGATGGGTAGAGTGGGGGAGGGGTGGAGTGAGGTTGGAAGAAAGGGGTGGGGTTGAGAGTGGGGAGTGGGAGTGAGGGGGGGAGGTAGGCGTGGGTATGGGGTATGGGGAATGGGGGTGAGGGTGCAGATGGAGCCTGTCGGCTAGGCTGGGAGCTGTCTGGGGAGCACAGCTCAGGTTCTCAGAACAGGCTGGACCAAGGGTCCTGTGCCTTCCCCTCACCATCAGACACCGAGTGCCCAGGTCATCCAAGTCTGCCTCTCGAAGTCATTCCTGACTCAGGAGCTAATAATCTGCCCCAGTAACAATCACTTGAGGGCTAGGGGTAGACAGGGCTTCTCTTTTCCTTTAGAATCTGACAGACACTCCTCTGTTGATACCACCTCCCTGCAGTTTGGGCATCTTATCAGCTGCAGAGAGACGCCTGGGTGGTGAGGTTTGAGTCCCCTTTCTTGGGGGCTGGGACCCAGACATGTGCTGATGCACCCAGGCCTGTCAGCTGCTCATCTCTCTGATGCCATCTGTGTGAGACTGCACAAGACCTGGATGTCCCTCCTGTGTGTTGTCCTCCCAACTGCCTTGGGGGCAGTGTCCTGGCACTGAGGCACCAGTGGTCCTATCCCCTGCCTGTCCTTCATGGAGCTGTGGCCCTCAGTGAGGGGCCTCAGCTCTGCCCATGACAGGGAGGGTAAGGCAAGGTAGTCTAAGAGAGAGGACCTCTTCAGACCTGCAAAGGTCCGTGCAGCCAGGTGGGGTGCCAGTGAGGACCTCATGTACTCTTGAGGAGGAAGGGCTCATGTGAGGGACCCTAGTTTCCCTCTCAGTGAATTTTATATTCGGGTTCAGGAATGCTATGGATTTTTGAGTGTTGACTGTATCTAGCTATGCTACTGTGTTTGGTTATTAAATCTAGAAGTCTTTTGGTGGAGTTTTTTGGGTCTTCTATGTAAAGTATCATGTCATCAGCAAATAATGATAATTTAATTTTTTCCTTTCCTACCCATATTCCTTATATTTCTTTATCTTCTTTAATTGCTCTGGCTAATGTTTTCAGAACTATATTGAGGGGTGGTGACAGTGGGCATCCTTGTCTTGTTCCTGATTTTAGAGTGAAAGCTTTCAATTTTTGATCATTTAGCGTGATTTTGGCTGTTGGTTTGTCATAGATGGCTTTTATCAGATTGAGATAAAGACCTTCGATTTCAATTTTCTGTGGGGTTTTTATCATGAATAGGTGCTGGTCTTTGCCAAATGCTTTTTCTGCATCTGTTGAAATGATCATGTAGCTTTTGTCCTTGGTTCTGTTAATGTAATATATTACATTTATTGATATGCATATGTTGAACCATCCCTGCGTCCCTGGGGTGAATCCTACTTTTTCATGTTATCTCTACTTTTTGACAACTTACTGCATTCTGTTTGCCAGTATCTTATTGAGGAGTTTTGCATCTATGTTCTTTAAGGAGATTGGCCTGTAGTTCTTTTTTGGATGGATCCTTCTTTGGTTTTGGGGTCAGGTTAATGCTTGATTCCAGGAATCATTTTGGGGGTATTACTTCCCTTTCAATTTTTTAAAGTATTTGAGGAGTAGTGGCTCTAGATCTTCTCTAAAGTTTTTGTAAAATTCATCAGGACCTGGACTATTCTTTGTTGGTAGTTTTAAAAATACTTCTTCAATTTCATTGGCCGATATTGGATTATTTTGAATTTTTATATTTTCTTGATTCAGCTTTGGTAATTCATATGTATCTAGGAATCTGTCCATTTCTTCTGAATTTTTCCATCTTATTAGAGGTCAGGTTCTCAAAGTAGGTATTAATGATCTCTATTTCTGCAGGGTCCATTGTGATTTTACCCTTTTAAGTCCTAATTGCACAGCTTTGGGTCTTTTCATTCCATTTTTTATAAGGTTGGCTAAAGCCTTGTCTACATTATTTAATCCCTCAAAGAATCAACTCTGATTTATTGATTCATTGTATTGTTTTCATAGTCTCAATTGCATTCATTTCTCTTCTGATCTTTATAATTCCTACCGTTGCACACACTTTGGGTTTACTGTGCTATTCTTTTTCTAGAAGCTTTAGGTTCAACATTAGTTTATTTATTTGAGCTTTCTCTGTTTTTCTGATGTAGGAATTCACCACTATAAATTTCCCTTGTGGGATTGCTTTCATTATGTCCCATAAGTTCTGGTATGTCATGTTGGCATTATCATTTAATTGTAGAAACTTTAATTTCTTCTTTAATTTCATCTGTGAACTATTGGTTGTTTAAGAGGGTGTTATTTAATTTACATGTTTATATAGTTTTTGATTTCTTTTGTCTTTGATTTCCAATTTGATTGCCCTATGATCTGATACTATGCATGGGATAATTTCAGTTTCTTTGCATTTACTTAACCATGCTCCATGAACTAGTATATGATCTATTTGGATAAAATCCCATGTGCTGCTGAGGAGACTATGTATTCTGTTGTTGAGACTAGATATCTACTCAGTTAAAGGTTTGGTTCAGCTCTGATATTTCTTTGTTAATTTTTTGTCTAGTTGATCTGTTTATTTGTGACAGTGGAGTATTGAGATTCCCCTATTATAATTATATTAGTGCTTAACTGAATTTTCATATCCATTAGTGTTTGTTTTACATAGTTGGGTGCACGGATATGTAGTGCATATATACTTATGATTGTTATCTCTTCCTCTTGGATTATTCCCTTAATAAGTATGTAGTGACCTTCTTTGTCCTTCTGATCAGTCTTGGCTTGCAATCCACTTTATCTACAAATGGAATAGCTACTCCTGCTTTATTCAGGGTTCCTGTCACATAGAGTATTGTTTTCCATCCTTTGACTTTCAGTGTAAGAATTTCTTTTTGGATTAAATGTGTTTCTTGTATGCAATGTATTATTGGATCTTGTTTCTTGATCCATTCTGCCAATCTGTTTTTTTCAATTGGTGAATTGAAACCATGTACATTGATAGTTATAACTGATATGCATTGACTTATTCTTGTTAAATTATTTTCCTGTGGTTGGTTTCCTTTCTTTTCCTTGTGTTTAGTTGATCACCTTGTCTGGTGGATTCATTCTGTTGGAATTCTTGGAATTGTTGTCTTCAGTATCTTTTTCTAGAATATTCTCCAGAACTATTTGGAGTTCTGGCTTGGTGTTCATGAATTTCTTTAGGTGTTCTTTATCATGGAAGTATCTTATTTCTTCATCAATTTTGAAAGATAATTTTGTGAAGTACATCAATCTGGGTTGGAAGTTGTTTTCTTTTAGGGCTTTAAATACTTCAAGTTCTCCTTGACTTAAGGGTTTGCTTTGAGAAGTCTGCTGTAATTCTGATGGGTTTTCCTTTATAGGTGATTTATTTCTTTTCTCTAACAGCTTTTAGTATTCTGTTTTTGTATTGAATTTCTGGAATCTTGTCTATTATCTGTCTTGGTGCAGTTTGTTTCTGACCATGACTATTTTGAGTTCTATATGCTGCATTTATCTGTATCTCAAGTTTTTTTTTTTCCATGCTTGGAAAGTTTTCAGCTATTACTCCTGTGAACAGGTTTTTTAATACCCTTTGTGCTACCTTCTGATTCTTCATTGATTCCAATTAATCTTATATTTTTCTTGCTTGCATTGTCTAGAAGCTGTTGGATTGTTTTTTCATGATCTCTTGTTATTTTTAAGAATTACTTCATTTGATGATCACCTACCATAACCCTGTCTTCTAGATCTAATATTCTACCTTCATTTGGATGACTCTGCTGTGTATATTTTCAGTGGAATTTCTAATCTCCTGGATTTTTATGTGAATCTGTTTTATGGAATCCAGTTCTTTTCTATGTTGGGCATTCATGGTTTCCATGTTTTTCCTAAGCTCCTGTATTTTTTATCTGAATCTACTCTAGATTCACTAATCATTTCCTTCATTGTGGTCATATCTCTTTAATTATCTGTTTCATTTTTGTCAAAAGACTTATTGATCTGTTTTGTTACATCTGCTACTACTATTTCATAAATTTCAGCTGGGAGATTCTTGGTTTCTTTTACTTCAATGCTCCCTTGTTTGCCTTGGGTGAGCTGGAGATTATGAGTTCATCTTGCTTCTGTGTTTTCTCATTTTGTAGTTTTTTGTTTATTTGTTTTCTGCTTTGAGACTTGCAAATTGCTTATGAAAGGTGGATTTATTACCAGTATTGAGACCTCTTTAGGAAATGACTACTTTTTAGCGATGTCTTCTAGGTGTAGCTGGCTTTTGACTTTTGAGTGTGTCCCAAGATCCTGCCTCTTCGATTTATTAGGGATGAAAGATTGCTGCCCATTTGACTTAGCACCCAGTTCTTTGATACTGGACTACAGTATTGTTTCTTACCTCTGATGTAGGTATTGGCATACACGGAAGATCAATTGCTCACAACTATTTCACCTTGGCTAAAGTAGTACAATCAGTAATAACAATAGCATCAAGCACAGACTAGAAAAGGACAAACTGTGATAAGTAATAATTTGCCATCTTTAACCA